CACACACACACACACACACACACAGAGACACACCTGCCCACGTGCACAGATAAACACACCCAAACGAGTAGTAATAATAAGTTTTAAAAAAGAATAAAGAAGTGGGTGCTCAGGACTTCTGGGAACTTTCTCTGGATGTAACGGGAAAGTCTCACAGAGTTCAAAAAGAAATAGCATCCAGATGGCAACCCACCACTCTCACTGTCACCCTTCTGTGCCTGAGTCACTTAGGATAGGACCTGGGCACCTCCTGTAATTGTGCCAGCTGGTGCCATCCTTCTTGTAAGCCTCACACATGGCCCAACCAGCATCTGAGCAATGAATGTGGAGAGGGTCTTTAGGAGGGCTGACAGAATGAGATGGACAACCGAGAACCGTTGTTGGCCGACGGTGTGGAGACAGACTGTGAGGTAGGCTGGTTGGTTGATGGGAAGGAGGGCAGAGAACCTTCTGAGAGCTCAGAGCTAGAAGACTGAGGAGAGAGAAGGCTGGAAGGAGTAGCGTGTGGAGGGAAGGGAGACGCTGGGACAGTCATCATTCAGTGTTCATGTGTAGGTGGCAGGGCGCAGCAGCCAGTCAGACACAAAAATTCCTGTTCTGATGGACTCTCAGGTTTATGGAAAAGACAGACTGGGAAGGACAAAGGTTTCTCTAGCAAACAGGAGTCAGTGGGCTTGTTGGGCAGTTTTTCCTGGGAAGATGTGAACACATGTCTACTTACCCTGCATAGGGCACCAACAATGGACCAGAGGTTATTGCCCCCAAGTCTGAGTCTTGTTTGTGGAGACAATGATTATTGGGGCTACTCTTCAGCAGCACGGTGCCTCAGGCAGCTGCATCATGAAAAAACCCACTTCAGTCTGGGTCAGATGACTCATACAAGGGACATTTCAAGTTCCCTGTGTTACTTGCAACTTTCTTGTGAGTTCTTAGACCTTTCTTGAGAATTCCCTGAGCCTCCTTCTCTCCATCCCTCCCTCCACAAGGAGGGAACACCTGTACCGCTGGAGCACAGCAGAGGCTTGGTTGTACAGGGATGCAGAGGTCTGGATTGCAGGGTTGGTTGAGTCCTGACAACTGAAGGACGGCCGCCCCCACTCTGTCGGGGGGGGGGGGGGGGGGGGCCCTGAGCCTGCTGGGGAACGGGCTGAGGAGATAGCTGGAGCAACAGTCAGAGGAGAAAGGGGGAGACCCTATAAAGACAGCCACCCTTTTAGCGGTGGGCTGAGGGGATGACAAGAAGAGAGCTTCTAAGTTCAGATAACTGATACTTTCAATCAGTCTTTAACCCCCTTTGCATGCCAGGCTCCGCGCAACCAGAGATGAAAAAGTCTCTTAGGGAGACAGGTGTGTGAATTACCCCTAAGCGAAGTGCATAAAATTCTATTACTATGATCTATGACGGAAGTACACACAATCTCTGTGAGATTACGGGGGACAGGGACTCACGTTTGTGTAGGATACGTGTGCACAGGTGAGTGCCCTTGTGTGTCTGCGTGTGTGTGTGTGCGCATAGGTGGGTACCCTCCTGTATGCATGCCTGTGGAGGCCAGAGGTTAGTATTAGGTGCCTATCACTTTGCAACATGGCTGCCACCTGGACGGGGACCGTGGCTCTGCATCCCAGGGCCCTGGGGACATTGAGAGCAGGGTTTCCGTCCAGATTTTCAGTGTCATCTGGTGCCAGCACACAGTAGAGGCTCCTTTTTTTTAAAGAAAATTAAAAAAAAAATTGTATTGGATATTTTATTTACATTTCAGATGTTATCCCCGTTGCCCATTCCCCCCCCCCCCCCGCCCAGGAACGGGGCCATCCCCCCTCCTCCTGCTTCTATGAAGATGTTCCCCCACCTACCCCCCACTCCCACTTCCCCACCCTCGAATTCCCCCACACACGGCCTCCAGCCTTCATGGGACCAAGGATCTCCTCTCCCACCTATACCTGACAGGACCATCCTCCCTTACATATACAGCTGGAGCCATGGGTCCCTCCCTAAGTGCTCCCAGGCTGGTGTTTTAGACCCTGGGGGCTCTGGTTGGTTGGTATTGTTGCTCTCCTCATGGGCCAGACCAGAGTGCTTAGAGAGCCCATTAGAGCAAGCTCGGAGCCAGAAGGGGCCTCTGGAGAAGAGATGTCTTGAATAGAGTGAGAAATAGAGACCCAGAGACAGACCAGAGGAGAGCATAGGCCACCGCGGACTTGGAGACCTGGAAATGTCAGGTAGATGGGGTGGGGGTGGGGGAGGTGCTCAGGCATCCTGAACAACATCCACCCTTTGTGTGAGAGAGCCTCCCTCTCCCCTTCTCCCTTTCCAAGTTTTGTCTCTTCTTGGGGTATGTGTCGTTTGCTTCACCCCAGACTTAGAGCTTAAAGATGGACGGAAACCTGTGGGCTAGGACATACTGGAGAAGACACTTGGGTTCTCTTGGCTCACACAAAGTCCCAAAGCTCTCTCTTCTCGCTCTGGGTGTGTCTGTGGAGTTACCCCTAAGGTAAAAGGGCTCTCGTGCCCCCTGCTGGCAGCTCTGCTCCAAGCATCCCAGTCACTCGCTGAGGATGCTACTGGGAAGCAAGCACCTTGTGAGAAGGAAGGCCGGTTTAGGGCTGCGGGGGGTGGGGGTGGGGGAGGGGGGGGGGGGGGGGGGGTGTGGGGGTGGGGTCGGGAGGGTGGAATACCGGCCTGCTAGATTCATCTGAACCCTGGAGGTTTTCTAATTGGTTCATATCCCTTTATCCTTTACTCCGGAGCTGGGAGCGACTCTTCAAAAACCAGTCCTCGGAACCACAAACCTCATCACTGGCTCTCCGGTCTGAAGCGCCTTGTGCCCAGCCAGAGCAGAGAGCCCGTCTCCAGAGGTTACAGGCCATATGAGTTCATCTACACAACAGTTTCAAAAGAAGTAATGAGAAACGGAGAAAGACCAAGGTGCTGATTGCGGAAGAGACAGGGAGATGTGAAGACAGAGGAACCTCAGGAAGGGGGCAGAAGAGGATTAGAACATAAAGTTGCTCTTGCATAAGACCCGGTTCAAGTCCCATCATCCTTACGGCAGCTCACAATTGTCTGTAACTCCTGTCCCAAGGTATCTGAATGGCTTCTTCTGGCATAGATGGCCACCAGTCATGCACATACATACACACAGGCAAAAACACTCATGCACATAAAATAATAACTTAGGGCTGGAGAGGTGGCTCAGCAGTTAAGAGCACTGACTGCTCTTCCAGAGGTTCTGAGTTCAATTTCCTCAACCACACTGTGGCTCACAACCATCTTTAATGGGATCTGCTGCCCTCTTCGGGCACACAGGTGTACATGCAGATAGAGTACTCATATACATTAAATAAACAGAACCTTTTAAAACATAAATAAAAAAAAATAGAAATTCTACCCCATTCCTGCTTCCTCAGTTTTGGTGGTGGAGATCGCCTTAGAGCCTCTCACATTCTAAGCAAATGTTCTTTGGGTAAGCTGTCTCCCAAGAATTTTTTTTTTTTTTTTTTTTTTTTGGACAGGGTAGCTCTGACTTGCCTAGAACTCATTATGTAGACCAGGCTGGCCTCAAACTCGCAGAGACTCACCTGCTTCTGTGTCCCAAAAGCTGGGGTTATAGTTGTGCACTACCATGTCTGGCAGAAATGGGATTTTTGAAACAATAGAACCATTCTGTTTTGATTGTGTTGGTGGCTGTGACACTTTGTGCCTGTGATAAAATATGGAATTCTACATAAAGACACACAGTAAAGAGTGTGCAAAGGCCAGAGGCGTAAGTAGCCCCATAGCACAGTGGGCTTTAGGGAGACTTGTCTCTCAGGATTGGTGTGCATAGCAGTTATATAGGATGCCATGGTGGGCGTTGGACTGAGACTTCGGCACCAGGGGATCAAATACCCTCTTATGGCCTTAGCAGATACCTGTACACACTGGAACCCCCAACACACACACACACACACACACCCCAGGATTTACAGGCAGAGGAAGAGGAGGTGGAAAAAAGATAAGGAGGAGAAAGGATCTTAGTGCTTTGCTATCCCAGCACTTGGGGTATGGAAGCAAAAGGATGGGAAACTCAGGGTTATCTTTAGCTCTATAGCAAGATGGAGGCCGGTCTGACTGCATTGTGACTGTCTCAACACTATACAACACAATACAGGGAGACATGGCCACACAGTCCTTCTGATCATCGCCACCTAGTGGTGCATGTGAGTAGTGCAGGACGGAGCGTGGTCTGATGGCGGGGCTCTCATCTCCAACCCTCTTCAGTAAAAGAAATCTCTTACTAAAGGTCTTTTTCTAAGACCTGTAGCAGGAGAACACCCAGGCTTGAAAGGCCCAAGAGGACAGGCTCCCTCCCAGACCTCTTGTCAATCTGATGAGTCCCCTCCTGCTTGGGTCTGGCAGGGCACTCTACCTCAAACACCCTTGCCTCAAAGCATAGAGAGAGTAGCTTTCCTGAGGCTCTGCTGCTCTGAGGTCTTCAGAAAAGACTAGTGCAGGACCCTGGGATCAAAAGACTCATGGGCCCAGCATAGTAGTCTTGTGGCTGTCACTCTCCAGGACCTGGGCTAGCCTAGAAACTGAGGAATAAAGACTAGTGTGATTTCACAAATGTCCCTGCACTAGGGTCAGGGCTGGAAAATCTGCACACGTCTCACTGCAATCGTGGCCAGCTTCTGAGGCAGATGTGGCTGTCCCAGTTTTATAGATGAGTGGCCTGGTGCAAGCTACCTGCTAAGATCACTCAGTAAGAAGTGTCAGGGGGGAGCTGGAGAGATGGCTCAGTGGTTAAAAGCACTCCCTGCCCTTCTAGAGGAGCTAAGTTTGGTTTCCAGCATTGACATCAGTGCCTTGCAACCGCCTGTACCTCCAGTTCCAGGGGCTCTGACACCCTCTTCTGGCCTCTACTAACATCCATGCTTGTGAATAAAATAAAATAAAATAAAATAAAATAATTTTTTTTAAAAAAAATAGCAGGGTTAGCTCTTTCCTTTCTGCCACAACCATGCCATCCAGACTGAGGAAGACCCAGAAACTCCGGAGCCACGTGAGCCATGTCCACGGCCGCATCTGTAAGCACCGCAAGCACCCAGGAGGCCTCGGGAATGCTGGAGGCGTGCCCCACCACAGGATCAACTTTGACAAACATCATCCAGGTGACTTCGGGAAAATTGGTATGAGGCATTACCACTTGAAGAGGAACCAGAGCTTCTGCCCAGCTGTCAACCTGGATAAATTATGGACGTTGGTTAGTGAGAAGACGCGGGTCAACGCAGCCAAAAACAAGACGGGCGCTGCTCCAGTCATTGATGTTGTGAGATCTGGCTACTACAAAGTTCTGGGCAAGGGAAAGCTCCCTAGGCAACTGTCATCGTGAAGGCAAATTCTTCAGCAGAAGAGCTGAAGAGAAGATTAAGGGTGTTGGAGGTGCCTGTGTTCTGGTGGCTTAAAAGCCACTCCAGGGGTTATTAAATGCTAACATTTAAAAAAAAAAAGCAGTGCTGGAATGTGGTCTCTGGATACTTGCCTTTTGATATTTTCAGTTGTGGATGAATATTATATTTATTTACAGTGTGTGTGTGTCCATGTGCACATAAGTATGCAGAGAACAATTTGGGGGAGTCAGTTCTCTCTGTTCTACCATGTGGTTCCAGGGATCAAATTTGGGTCCTCATGGTTGGTGTCAAGGGTCTTCACCCACTGAGCCATGTCTCCTACCCATGAACAAGTATTTATTGAACACCTGTTATGTCAGTCACTATTAGGTACTGAGGACACAACAAAATCTTCTCCTTCTTGAGGCTGGTGGGGATTAATGATTCATCATGATCGATGGCTGTAAAGCGGTAAACAGAGAAAAGAGATGCATACAGGTCTCTAATGGTGTGTATGGGGGAAGATGGCACAGGTGGGCACTCAGAACAGCACTGAAAGATGGCTGACTTAACAAAGGAAAAAGTGGAAAAGAATACAGCACATGCAAAGGTCCGGGGGCAAGAAAGAACACAGAACATTTGGGGAACTGATGGGAGGCTGTTGTAGTCACAGCTCAGAAACCAAGGCAGTGTGTGAGGTGCAGGCCTTGCAAAGGCTTGAACAGGTGTGTGCTCTAACCAAAAGTGTTATTAAAAATTTGGAACTATCAATTTATACACTCTTCATGCCACCATATAGAGTAGGTACTGTGATTGTACTCCCATTCTCCAGATGAATACACTGAGGTGCAGAAGAGGTCAGTCTGGGTTTGAGTCAGGCAGTTTGGCTCCAGTGCCCTGCCACTATGTTATTCTGCTGAGGAGTGAGGAGGTGACTGAGGAAGGACAAGGACTGAGCCTGGTGGGCTAGATCCAAGCTTGTGGTCTTATTCCAAACGTATTTAATATAAAAAGAAAAATAAACCCTACCTGGGGGGGGGGAGAGTATGTGTTACAACAAACATGGTGATCAGAGGTCAAAGGGTGAATTTGGGCCTTATTTCCCTCCTTCTGTACTCAGGTTGAAAGACTTGGCAGTAGACCTGAGCCACCTCACTGGACCCAAGTCTAAGGTTTAAATGGGACAGAAAGCTAACCAGGGCTGAGTTTTAAACTGAGTCTGTTTAGGAGAATAGAGGGAGGAGACTGAGGACAGGGGATAGGGAAGGTTGCTGAGTGGGAATCCAGGCAGACTTTAGCTCCCTAAACCAGGCTGATGGGAGGAAGAGAGTTGGCAAGGTGGGCCAAGGTTTTGGACATGAGCAGGAAGTGAGTCTGCCATATTCCAAGGTCCATCTGGAGGACAACAGAGCCATTTCCTGGGATAGGCAAACCCTGGAGGAAGACTTGCTTTGGGCAAAATCAAGACTCCAATCTTAGGCGGAGGTCTGTCACGGGGCAGACATCATTGATGCTGTGGCCGGCATCATCCTGGGGGCAAGTACAGGGAGCAGGGTCTGGCCTGAGAATTTTTTCTTTCCATGCTTGGCCAGAGATTGAAGGAACATGAAGGGACTGAGGGAGAGAGGTTTCCAGGAGGGCCTGCATGTCCCGGGAAGCCAGTGAAACTGGAGACTCAAAATGTCTATCAACACGGGTGTGATGTGGAGTCCACAAGAGATTCTGTGGTCTGTGGCATCAGGGGTTGAGGACAGTGGATGGAATGGTGAACATCGACATCTTTCAAAGTCTCCCAGTACCCATATCGTGAAGGAAAGGACTAGGTTTTGCAAGTTGAACTTTGACCTTCATACACACGTGCCCTACCATGTATGCCCCTTCTACACACATACACGATATATAAATAAATATAATTTTAAAAGTCTGGCTTTGAGAGTGGGTCTGGTTTTACGCAAATGTGTGGTGGAGGGTTTCCTAGTGTGACAGTGACTGGAACATCTTCCCATGGGATCAGGTAGGTGTAGTAGTGGACACCATAGGTTTCGTAACCTCCTCCATGACTGAAGTTTCTCAGTGGGTGAGGCCCGGCTTGGTGGAGGTGGTGACCAACAGCTCTCATCTAAGCCCTGCTGGGACATGCCCAGGGCTGAAAAAGAGATGTTTTGTCCTAATCTGTGCCATCTGTCAGGCAACTTGGGTGGTCAATAGAGCAGTCTGCACAGGACGGACAATGTGTAAGCTCATCCAGAGCTCTTGGGAGCTTGGCTGAGTCTGGATGTGGGCCCCATATTGTGGCCCTCATTCCCATACAGGTGTCTGTCTTGACAGCCCCAGGCTGATCTCCCTGCTTGTATTTGCTGGTGGCTTCCATCAGACACAGCAGGACCCATGGAGAACCGTGGGTGTGTTTAAGAAACAAAGGCAACTCAGTCATCCCTAGGGAGATGCAGAGAACTAGGGAGAGGAGGAGCTGTTCTGAGTCTCACTGTGGTTTCTATGTTTCCGTCATTGCTGGGAGCAGAGGCCAGCCACCCGTGGAGAGGGAGGGAGGCAGATTGGGCTCTGAGGAGATCTAGTGGAAGCCGACGGTGGCAGACAGTACAAGACTGCCCTTTCCACGGTTGCTGATGAAGGTGGTGGGGGAGGTCCACAGGTAACATGCAAGGGTCACTGTGGGACCTAGCAACAGTTGTGTACCCAAGAGGATAGAAACACACAGGTCATTGAATGAAAGCTCGAAGCTTCCCCCAAGTCATACTGAAGTCCGAGCCCCAGGGTGATGGTGTTTGGAAACAGGGCCTTCGGGAGTGACTGGGTCTAAGTAAGGTCTAAGTAAGGTCATGATTGATATTGGGATCCGAGTCCTCATGTGACAAGACCAGACCTTTAGCTCCACTGCCATTTAAGAACATGGGAAGAAAGTGCTGCTACCTGCAAGGCAAAGATGTCCTCATCCCACCTCACCACGCTGAACCTCAGCTTGAACATTTGGCCTCCAGCTTTGTGAGGAATACATTTCTGTTGACTAAGCAACCAGGTCTGCTGCGTTACAATAGCAACTGCATCTATCGAAGCCAAGGTGGCCACAGAAACGCTTGTACAGTGGTGTCTGTCCTGACAGCCTCAGAGAGGGTAGAACACATGATCTTTCACTTAGCAAATGGATTAAGAAAAGGTGGCAGGGGCTAGAAAGGTGACTCAGAGGTTAAGAGCACTGGCTGCTCTTCCAGAGGTCCTGAGTTCAATTCCCACCAATTCCCACCCACATGGTGGCTCATAACCATCTACAGTGAGATCTGGTGCCCTCTTCTGGCCTGTGGGCATACATGCAGACAGAACACTATACATAATAAACAAACAAACAAATAAATCTTTGAAAGAAAGGAAGGAAGGAAGGAAAGGTGGCAGCTGAGCCTGGTGATGCAGTGTCAGTGCTTGGGAGGTGGAGGCAGGATGGTCAGGAGTTCAAGGCCAGCCTCAGCTGTACACTGAGGCAGGATGATATAGACAGGCTGGGGATCAGAGTAGCTCTCCACATACCACAATGGTCAACTAAGAATCCACGGTGTTTGTCAGGAGCCATAATGGGACAAGCTAATAATTAGCAGGTGATCATCCTGAAATGGCTTGCCTTGGATTATTATATAATCTGAGACAGGTGAGTCCTTATTCAGCAAGGCTGCGAGGGACTTGTTTTAGGAAAGATCCCTGATATTACTATGCTTTTCCTATGATTATTATTAAACAAATATAACAATCACTAAGCAATAGCACACCCTTTTGGAGCAGATCTCTTCAGATCTACGAAGATGTACTGTCTTGTGGTGATGCTATACAGACAAATAGATGAGTTCTTAAGTCTTTTCTTTTTCTTTTTCTTTTTGGTTTTTCAAGACAGGGTTTCTCTGTATAGCCCTGGCTGTCCTGGAACTCACTCTGTAGACCAGGTTGGCCTCGAACTCAGAAATCCTCCTGCCTCTGCCTCCCAAGAGCTGGGATTAAAGGCGTGTGCCACCACCGCCCGGCTCGAGTTCTTAAGTCTTAATGATGATCTTATAAGAATTCCTAAAATTATATCAATGATTATTAGGCTCTTTTATAGCGGGACTGCTATTAGGTCCCTTTCTGATAGTCAAAACTGCAATGAGAACTCTGAGAGTCTTCCAAGTGTCACCAGTTAATTGCTCTTAGGTAGTAGCCAGACTTTCTTTCTCCTACTCAGAGTACATTCCAAGAGGTTGTAAAACAATTGACCAACGGTCACTGATAGGGAACTCATGATTTATCATAGGTGCTAGGACAGGAGATAAAGTATTGCCACGGTTTATCTATACAAAACTTCACTAATTTCCTTATAGTTTTAAACCTTCACTGAACCTGTGGAGCTAGACAAGTGATGGATGTTTAGCCAGATAATTACTCCTAATGGATATGCATGTAAACATTCTCTGTTGTAAACTTCTATTTCAATTTATGATTTGATTTTTGGTGTGAACTTGTGATAAACTTTGTAACATGTGATCATGTACTCTGAAAGACATATAAGTACTGGAGACAAAGACAAAGAGAGAGTCGTTCGTTCCTTCCCTTCTTTTTCCTCTGCCTAGAATTTTTTCCCTTATTAGAATTTTTTCTTTTTCCCCACTTAGGAGTTTCCCACTTTTCCCTTTAGATAGCTTTCATAGGAAACTTTTTACACTTAGTAATAAACTCTATAATAACTTCTCTAAGTGTCTTTTCTTCCTGTGACCTCAGACTAGCAGGCATAAGTTAGAGCCCAGCAGTTCCTGCTGAGACAGAACAAAGGCCACATTGCCTAATCCTCTGCTGTTAGGCTACAGGTGTTAATCACCTAAGCCTGCAGTCTTTTACCCTCAGAAGAAGTTTTTAGGACTTTTTAGAAGTTATCATCAGCATTTCAGTACAGGTCAGAGAGTCAGAAAGCCCTGAGACCCTCAGACTTTAAAGCCATCACCAGAGTCCTACTCTGTGCCCCTGCCACTACCCTTTCTGGGCTGGGAGGCTCCCGGCAGGTGTTTAAGCTAGAAGCCAGTCTTCAAGGCTATTATCAAAGTACATTTGCCAAAGTAGGAGAATAAACATTTTATTTAACAGTTAGTTATTAGCTTGCCTTAGGACTTTAAATATATAGGTGTACAGCAAGAGGCCTCTATTTGTTCTCTTCTGCGCCCTGCTACCATCAGGGCGGGGCTTCCATCAGCCACACTCACTGGGCCCCAAGCTCCAGAACACATGTGTAGAACTCCTGCCCCAGAGCACAGTGCCTGGCACATGAGGACCCACAATAAATACAGACTGCATGAAACCAAGGGAGAAACCCGTGGGAAAGGCTGCCGTAGTATGAATGCTCAATAAATATTAGCTATTATTGTTTGTTGAGTCAGTGAGGGTGGGTGGAGCTAGGGGCTCAGATCCATAAACTGAGGTGGTATGTGCATAAGGGAGGCAGCGGGCAACTGACACACAGGTTCAACTGTTTGCCTAAGGCTGTGACCTCCCAGACAGGCCTCTCCTAGCTCTGCTTGGCAAGTGGGTACCAGGTAGGCATCCAGCCAGGGTGCAGACAGCAGCTGGGGGCTTCTATTTATGCTGTCCCTCCCCAAACAGTTGTAGTAGGTTCCCTGCTGCCTTCAGAGGTTCCCAACCTCTAACCTGCACAAAGTGCTCCAGTGTATTTACTCTGGTCTACCTACAGGCTGTACTGCCCCAGTGGGGCTGGGGCATCACTTCCTCCTCTAGAAGCTGGGCTTGCTGTCGGGATAGCCTTTGCAGGGAATCAGATCACCTATGCACCTCGGAAGTAATTTGACTTCTGCAAGCCCCAGATCCCTGGAACCACGTGGACCAGGTGCAGGGTTGGCATGTGGTTAGTATGAAGAACTTCTTTAGAGAACGGGTGTGGCCCAGGGAGAGAGGGAAACATAGGAAAAGGTCTCAGGTGGCCTGTATCAGGGTGGCACTGGAGCGTAAGGCTGAGGAAAGCAGTCAGTGGCCAGGGCTGGCGGCCAGGGTCAATCCTCCCCCGGCAGCAGAGACAATGTCAGTAGCTGCTTCATGACTTCCTACATAGCACAGGGCCTACAGGGTCTCCACCAAGGCCTGACCAGGTGCAGGCCTGAGGAAACCAGAATGCCCTCACCAAATCCCTTCTCCCAGCCGAGGTGGGAGGGACTAGAAAACAAACATACACCTCCCGCCCCTAGGCCTATTCTCACATCCACACACTAGGTGGCGCTGTAATCGAGGACAGGGCCCTTAAGAAAGGGGACGCGAGAGGGAGAAATCACATTTCATGAACTGCCCACCAGGGGTCACCGTACCCTCTGAATCGAGGGGTGTTGAAGTCACAGTGCAGCGGGGTGGGAAGCGGAGAGCCTCAGAGGAGGTCCAGCCTCACGGCCTCCAGCTAACCCAGGGTCCACAGTCAGTGAGGTGGGAAGATGTCTGCGCACTGATGTAGGATGAGCTCCACCACCTGGTTCTGGAACACCATGGTCATGGGCATGCTGGCCTCCTCCGTCTCAGGCCGCAGCAGCGTGGGGCCGAACACTATGGCCACATTCTGCACAGACATACGGTTCTGCTCGCCATGCTCGATCACCCTGCATGTGGGATTGGTGGGATCAAGAGGTTAAAGGTTGGGGAGTCTCTCAACACGGGCTCCAGCCACGACTAGCCCTCTTCTTTTGCCCTAGGAAGTATGGCTTGCTCACCGGCACAGATGCTGGATGAGCAGTCGGAGCGTGTCGTGGTTGGGGGCTGGCAGCGTGCGCACCAGGTCACGCACACAGCGGCTGCGCTGGGCTGGGTCCTGCAGCTCTGAGTGAGAGAAGGGACCAGAGATGGTCTTCTGGCTGCGACAAAAGCGGGCCAACCTCCCCATCCCTCCTCTTCCCAAGCCACTCACTGATGGCTGCTATGAACTGGTGGAAGTGCGAGAAGGGAAACAGGGGTTCCGGCAGCTCTCGGAAGAAGAGCTTCAGGGCACCTGTGATCACGTGGACGTCTTCCCAGCGCCCATCGTCCAGGTCCAAGCGTTCATCTACGACAGGGAAGGGCCCCGGGGGATTGAGAGTCAGTCAGCACCCCCTGGTGCCAGGCCCCAGGGCAGGGACTGGGAAAGGGCCTCACCGTGATCAACCTTATAGCGCAGCTTCTGGATGGTGGCCAGGTTCCCACTGATGCGGTACAGCCCGTCAATGTCCAGCCCTGCGGGAAAGGAAATGGCTGACTCTGGAAGGACTGCAATCCCTAGCGATTTCTACTCAGGGTTTTCCTACTCAGAGTCTTTCTGGCTCCTTCTTCTTGATCCTGTGCTCACCCAGGGGGTCTCTACCTGGGTCCCTGGCGCTCTGCCTTGTTTGCACGTGCGTACATACCCCGGGCCTCGACGGTGTGGATGCATTGCTGCACGAAGCGTGGCACAGGGCTCCTCTCGCGTTCACACAGTTGAGCCAGCGCGCATCCAAACACCTGGTCTGGGGGAGAGGTTGGTCAGCGCCGCCCAGCCCCGCGCCACCTGAGCCCGGATCCCGGCGAACTGAAGGTACCTTTGATGTAGCCCTTGTCCCGCAAAGACTGCAGAGTGGGTCGTCTCTGTAGGAATTTACGGAGCTTGTGCCGGACCCTGCTCAAGTCGCTTTCCAGGCCTCCGGGGCTGAGCGAGGGTGAGACTGCCACAGACCGAACTCAGTCAGCAGGTGGCAGAGATGGCATTGGCCCTAGACCCCAACCATCATTTCCTGCCCCTCAGCGGGAAGTCTTTTGGTCGCCTTCCCACCTGATCCCATCGCACACCTGCGTTCGGTCGCACATCCTCCTCCCGCCAGCTTCCGAGGCGCTCACTGGACCCGAAATCAGCACTCCTGGGCTCACCTTCCTCCCCTTGGAGCAGGTCTGCAGACTGGAAATCAGACAACCTCAGAGAAGCAAGGCCTGGGGCGGATTGGGGCCTCTCCTGAGCAGCGCTGGCCTGGAGACGCCCCTGGAAGAGCCTGTTTTCTCTTGTCAGTTTACTGTCCTGGGAATCAGACCTTCCACATTCCCCGACTGCAGAGTCCTCCAGGAGCTGCAAGGTTGTTCTCTCCTCTCGCTTTCTTTCTTATCCTGGCCATCTCTAGCCTCCTCCCAGTTCCCCAACTCTCTCCATCGCACTAGAGTGCAGTTCTATCAGCATCCACTATTGCATCCCACTATGAGCTTACGATTCACGTTTAGACCAGATCACTGTTGATCACGCCAACCTCCTGCCTCTGGATTCCTACAACCAAAATCTGTACCCAGTGCTAACCCATATAGAATTAAGAGACAAATATTATCAGGCCATTGCCATATAAATAGCTGCTGATTTTGTCGGAGCCCGGGATCAAACTCAGGGCCATTTGCATGCTATGCAACCCCTCTGTCACTAAGCTATGTGCTCAACCCATAATTGGCACTACTGGGGCTGTGGCAGAAGAGCAAAGCATGTGTCTAGAAGACATAAGGCCCTTGAATTCAATCTGTTAGTGCCTTTTATCTTCTAGTTGTAGCTGTCATTCCTGTCTGGTTCCTGAGAACCAATTCCTGAGCCTGGTTCCCTCCCTCTCTCCAAATGACCAGTTTCTTCAGGTTGTGCCTGTCCCCTTCCTGTAGAGTCCTGCAAAACCAGCCCCAGAGCTGGTGTCATGGGGTTCTCTGTGCATCGCTGAGGGTCCTGCAACAAAAAGGCCCAAGCCCCTCCCCATCAGCCCCGGAGGATCCAGGCTCTGCCTACCAGCTCCTCGATGCCTTCGGCAATGGCCTTGTGCCAGGTGCTGATGATGGCTTCTGAGTCATGCTGGATCAGGTACTCTGAGCCATCTCGGCTTCGAAGCTGGAGGGACACAAGTCACTCAGTTCCCTGTTCCTCCATAGGCTTAGAGTGTGTGTGTGTGTGTGTGTGTGTGTATGTGTATGTACTGAGAAGGAGGTGACCTGTCCCTGCCCTAAGCCACTCAGAGCCTAATAGAGCAAAGGCCACAAGCCAGACCCAACTCTTCCTCTTTGTTTAATGTTGTGGGCAACAGTGTTTACTAAAGTGAGGTCCAGTACATTTGAATCACTTTATGGGCATACAGCTCATTGCTGCCCGCCACAGAACACAGCAGGCCTCCCTGCAGGGCACGGGCAAACGACAGAAAATTCCTATGGAAGGTCCTAGCTGCTGGAACAGCAATGGGGAAAATATGCAGGGTGGAGCAGAAATAGACCATGGCTGGCCTGTGGCTGATCCCAGACACCCGGAGGCTTGGAGTTTCGCCAGCTGCAATGCCTGCCTTTAGAAGTATACATCAGTCTTGCCCTTTGGTCCAGAGAGAGGCAGACAGCAGAATCTGGCTCACACATTGGGGGGACAACTTCTAGAGTCAGAGAAAACTGTCTTTTGGTTGTTCTCCTTTTAAAATTATAACTAAGAGGCTGTAGAGATGGCTCAGCCGGCAGTTATAAGCATTTATTGCTCTTGCAGAAGACCTGGGTTTGGTTCCTCACACCCACAAGGTGGCTCACAACCATTCAGTTCCAGGGAACCCAACACCCCTTTCTGACTTCTGTGGGGTACCAGGCACACATGTGAACACACACACACACACACACACACACACACCATTCACATATATAAAATAAATAAATCTAGAACCGAATAAAGCTTGGAGAATCGTAAAAACAAAACATCCAGGCTCCCTGTAGCATGTCTGGCCACGCTTCTGAACTTCTCCATAATTTGCTACCTGAAGCAGTGCTAAGGTCCAAGCTCAGCTTCTGTGGAGCTCGTTAGAAGGACACTTATCCCTCTAGACCCCAGGTTCATAGAACTACACATTAGAAAGCTCTTTGAGAACCAATGATTAGGGGGCTGGAGGGATGGCTCAGTGGTTAAGAGCACTGACTGTTCTTTCAGAGGTCCTGAGTTCTGGGAATCCATGTCTCTGCTTTCCCATCATGGGATTACAAGCATGTGCCACCACACGATGCTTTTACACTGGGGATCATCAGGTCTCCATGCTTGTGTGATAAGTACTGACTAAGCCTCCACTCTCCCTCACTGCCTGTGTATCTTTCTTGTGTTCTGCCTCACAGCTTTTAGGGACTGTCAAACCCCCGAAAACACTGAAGGGTGTGGTACTGAGACCTTGCCAGAATCTTCTTGCTCTACCTGTTGGGGAAGCCAGCCCAGCTTGTCACTGTTTTATTTGATGGGGACCCAATAAAAACTGGAATCTGGGCTCTGGCCCATGAAAGCAGGTTCCTGGTTCAGCCCATCACAGTGAGCAGCTAGAATCAGAGTCTGGTCTCAGGCTGAGAGGAAGAAAGCCACTCTGAGGATGGCCTCCTCTCTCAGAAACCTGCTTCTTACCCTCAGTGTCGAGGGCTACTAACTCTGTTCCCAGGTTGGGGACTCCAGACCACACGACACTAGAAGCACTGGTCCCAACAGGAGGCAGCCCTGTCTTTGAGACTTGGGAACTCCAGCCTTCCTTTCCACAGGCCCCCATTGCTGGGCCCATCCGCAGCGGGATTCACAGGCCCCTCCCCTAGCCACCTGCTCACCTCCAGCACATTCTTCTTGCTGGATTTGTCTTTGGGGGCCCAAGAGAGAGAGGCCCCCTTCAGTTCGACCGTATACTCAGGGGTGGAGAGTTTGGAAGGCTGCCTCTGTGGAAGGAAGGAATGAAGGAAGCAAAATTATGTGGAGCACCCACCCAGGTGGGATTGCTACAGCCCCTGGTTCTGACACACCAGGCCCCTGGTGCATTTTTGTCCTAGAACCTGCTGGCAAACAGGAGGGAAGAAAAGAAAGGAGCCCAACCCCGTTCTGTGAGCAGGTATCCTAGGCCTGGCTTCCCTGCTCTCAAGACTGGAGCTAAGCATCCCCGAGGACAGTTCTTCAGGCCTAACATGGTGGGAATTGCTTGTACAGGGGTGAATTTGCCATCATTGTCCTTCTGTACTTGGGGACCCATCTTTAAGACCAGAAAAAGAGCAGGTGTCCTCTACTCAGGGACAGGTCTCACCAGGCCGCCTGCAGCTGAGGTCTTTGAATCCTTGAAGAAGGTCAGGACCCCGCCCTCCAGCACTGTCCAGGAGGCGCTCCAGTGTTTCTTCCTGAGTAAGGAGGAAGTAGGGGTGAGTGGGGCTTAAATTTGCTCCTGGGCTGGAGGACTCATTGAACTCAAACACACAGTAGGACACAGAGTTTTAAGAACATAGCTTGGGGTACTGGCTTGAGAGGGCTGGATTCCCACCTCAGATAGTGGATAGCCAAGGAAATTTAGGTTCCTGTTTCCTCACAGGACCTAGTAAGAAGTTGCTACCCTGAATAGTAACAGTGTGGCCTATGGGAGCCTAGCACTTGGCTAGGGGAACTTCATCATCAAGGCCCACCCTGCCAGGGTTGGGTCTGGACAGGTTCTCACCGAAGTCTCTTTCCTTTGTCTACAGTCTTGGTCCGATGGAGGACTCCTGCCTTGTCCAGGGTCTTAATCTAAGTGAATGGAGGGGAAAGGGAATAGTTACGAGGGGCGCCAAGCAGTAAGGGCCAGAAGCTAGTATCTCCTTGGTTGGAGGTTCCCCACAGGCTAAGCCTGAAGCTCACTGGACCATGTCAACCACCCAGCTGCTACAGAAGTAGGCACAAGATTACTCCAGGGCTTACTTACTTCTTGCTCTCTCTACTCTGGGGCTTATAGAGAAGGAGGACTACATTAGGCCTACCCCCGAACCTAGACTCCATGGCCCTTTCCTACCTTCTCCTCTGGAGGGCTAGCCTGGGCTGGAGTGTCACTATCCTGGCTGGATTTGCGGACACTTCGAGGAGCAGGGATTGGGACCTGGAGAGAGATACATAGTCACTTACCATTCTTTCCAAACCCCCAACCCCCTCGGCTAGCCCCCTTCCCAAGCTTGTTACCTGGGGCAGCTCCCACTGAACAGAGGAGTCCTCTGTGTTGTAGAAATATGGGTTCCCCTTCTGGTCCTCCAACCTTATCCACTGTGAACACAGGGATGATCAGGGCCCTTAGCTTAGGTACTAAGGGCTGGAGCACGGGACTTAGTGTTGAATGGCATGGGGTGTTCACTTTAGACTTGAGATGAGGCCCTAGTGAGGAAGTTCAGGGAGGGAGTGACAGCGAAGCAGTCTAGGTCTGTTTACTAGTGAGGTCCTACCTGCTCGTGAGTGAACTGGTTGGTGTAGAGCATCTTCTTATCTGGGGTAATTTGACAGGACCAGCCAGGAGGCACAACCAAAGGAGAAGTGGGGGCAGGATCACTGAAGGAGCCCACAGGAGAATAGTCCTCTTCGGGGTAACTGGCCAGTAATTCGGGGTAGTCTGTTTCAGGAGTCGGGGGCTGCAGGGATGGAAAGACGGAGTCAGAGGTTCTCTGTCTCCTGCGCCCCCCCCCCCCCCCCCGCGCCACTTTACTCTCTAGTCATTGGGGCCAAGAAGCAAGAAATAGTCAGGGGCCCTCAGAGAGGGCTCTGCCCCTACTCTCTGGTGAGAGAAGCAAGAGGTGGGGTTAGCAATGTTGGGGGGGGGTGGTCCCACCCCCCATTCTTAGGTTCCTGATTAGCATGAGAAGAGGTCAAAGTTGTTCAGAAATGCTCTCCCCCCAAAGCCCTACTCTCGCGAGTGCCCACACATCCATTGTCCTACCCCTATCTTCTGATCCCTGAGAAACGGGAGGTGGGATCAGAGGCTCTTGGGGTGGCCCCGCCCCTCACCCTCTGCTGCCCGGGGCTTCTCGGGCTCAGGCTGGGTTGCATCTCCAGTTGTTCCTGGGTATCTTCCTCCAGCTCCTCGGTCTCGTCCTCCCAGGCCGTCTCACCGGTCAAGGGATTGTAGAAGAACACCCTGCGGCTCTCCTCATCCCAGTACTGGCCCCACTCTGTCTCCAGGCTCTCCCCGCTGCCCACAGAGGCCCGGGAGGTGGCCGGGCTGGTGGCGCCTTCAGGGGTTTCAAAGGGTGACTCCCAGGTGGTCACGCCCGTGTCGGGGTTGTAGTAGTAGGGGCGCCCAGTGCCCGCGTCCGTGTGCGTCTCCCACACCGGGCTGAGACGAGGAGGAGCTGCAGCAGAGCGTGGCGATGTGGCCCGAGGTTGCCTCTCTACGTTGGCATACACTGGTTCCGGGGGGTCGTCTACCTGCAGGAGCCAAAGTAGACGAAGTAGACGACTTTTAGGGCAACTCCAGAGTCACAAAGTGTGGCCCTGGATATTTGCAACCTGAGCAACCTTCAGCGAGCCCTGGTACCTCTCTGGATCAGTTTCCCTGAGTAGAAAATGTGTCCTTTACCCATCCCAGAAATTATGGCAGAAAGAAAAACTAAACCATGTTTTTGAAAGTGCTGCGTGTCAGTTTGTTTATCGTATAACAAGAACTCAGGTCTTTGCGTTTACAGAGAAATCTGCACTTAGAGAAAGGTGAAACATCGGCAGGAACGGACCAATGGCCTGGGATCAATTCTTTAGTGGGTCTCATTTGGGGTCTTCCGGCACTCCATGGGCACACTGAAAGCGGGTGCCCGCTGGGTGAGCAGAGCAGCCAGATGGGCTGGGCTGGAGAATTAAGGTTCAAAGCAAGAAGTGGTCCCTTTCCCTACAAAGGACTGGGGCAGCTAGAGTTTCATCTGGTTAGTCACAGAAGAGAGCTCACGGTGTGATTCACACTCTCTGCTTCCTTGCTGGTGAAGGGGCAAAGTCTCAGCCCTGAGAGGCCATCCATCACCTGCCTGGGCTTGGGCTCTACTTCCGGCCACTCCTTGCCCCTGGCCTTGAACTTTAAGCTCTAGTTGTACTGAAGTCTTGGGTCCTCGACCCCTTCCACGTCCACATGAGAACTTCAGCAGGTCCAGTTGCAGTCAGCTCCCTTGCAGTCAGCCTGTCTGTGTCCAGTTCCACCCAGCTCACCCAGCTGACTCCCAAACCTCTCCCTAGATCCCTCCAGTGTTCCCACCACACGCAGCCCAGCAATGCCAGCTCCCGAGAAAGACAACACCATTATCAAACCTAAGCCAGCAGAAATGCACCATGGACCGATAGTTGTCTAAGAACACTCCATGCTCCCGGCAAACAGCTAATATGCCTCAAAAGCTAATATGGGTGGGCTGTGGAGAACCCACCCAGCACTCAGAGAACTCTGGGTTTGACTCTAAGTACTGCACACCACCAAGTACATCGGACAGTACATTACTGTCACTCAGAAGACAGAGGCAGAACCTCACGAGTTCAAGGTTATCCTTGTCTACGTGTGGAGTTTGAAGCCAGGGTGGGGTACATGAGACCTTGTCTCAAAAAGACCAAAGCCAAACAAAATGCAGGCAATGGAGCTATCTGGACAGTGTGATTATAGGGGCTATGCTTTGATGGGGAAGGGTGTTGGGTAATGGAATCCTAGGCCTCAAGTACAAAAGGCAAATAGGTACTCATCCATTGAGCCCCGGCTCCAGTTCTTTTTATATGTGTAATAAAATAAAATCATCACAAATGTTCCCCCTTGGCTGAGACACCTGTGTAAGGGAAGCATGTTCTACTTGACCTGGCTTCTCCCTAAGATTTAGGAAGAAACATAAAAAAAAATCACTCATTTGGGGCTGGAGAGATGGCTCAGTGGTTAAGAGCATTTGCCGCTCTTGCAGAGGACCTGAGTTCAGTTCCCAGCCCCACATGGTGGCTCATGAACCTCTAACTCTAGCTCAAGCAGAACCGACTCCTTCTCCTGACCTCCTTGGGCACCAGGCACACACATGATGTATGTACATACATGAGTGTTTATACTTGCACACATACAAATAAATAAATCTTACCCCCCCACACCTCAGTCATTCATCCTACAAAGAGCGTGGCAGGAACTGAGTCAAGCGCTGGGAATGTGGCAGGAAACAAATGGATGAGTCCCTGCTTGGTGAGACCGGCCTCCAGGGTGCACACACAGGTGTGGTGAGCACAGCATGTCATTGTCGGGCACTGCAGAGAGAGATGGCAAAGCCAGAGGCTGGCCAGAGGGCTCTGCAGTTGATGCCAGTTTGAACCTCAGCACCTATTTGGTGGAGGGAGAGGATTGACTGCCCAAGTTGACCTCTTACTTCACACATGGGATGTGGTGTATATGATCATGTGTGTATCACGTGGGCACTCAATAAATAAATAAAATATAATAAAAAAAATAACTGAGGCATTGAAAGACATTGAGGTCACAGTTTTGTCAAGTTGGCCAGTTCCGAGGAGGCAGGTGGGTTGAGCCCATCAACTCCCCTCTTTTACTCCTTTAGGATTCTGTGGTGGAGACAGACCTCCCACTCACTTCTCCTTCTCCCTGACCCCAAACCTCATGTGGCATCCTGTGTTTTGGCTACACCAGGATGCTCCCCTACCTCTCCAGAAGAAGGTACCTAGCCACTTCCTTGCCTTTCCTCAGGCTATTCCCTTGGCCTGACTTCCTCTCTCTCCCTTCCTTCTCACTTTGACTTTGCTTCTTGGGGAGCCTCGAGTCACAGCCTCTGGAGAGAGGTCTGAGCAGCCCATCACGAGGGATTCTGCCTTGGAGGTTGGGTAGCTGACCACCTACCTGACTTACTTACTTACTTTCTTTCTTTCTTTTTTCTTTCTTTCAATATATATGTGGTATGTGTGCATGTGTGTGTATGATCTGAGGTTGACATTGGTTTCTTCCTCCACTTAACTCCACATAAATTTCACCTAATGTGTTGAGGTGGGATCTCTTACTTGAAGTCAGAGCTCACTGACTTGGCTAGTCCAGTTAGCCAGCTTGCTCTAGAGATCCCCTGACTCTCCCCAGCATTGGGGTTACAGACAGACTTCCACGCCCACCTGGCTTTTATATAAGTACCAGAGGTACAAACTCGGGGTTTCGTGGTTACATAGTGAGTGCTTTACCCACTGAGCCATCTCCCCTTCTGGTGAAACACACAGCAGATCTACTCAGACACTGCTTTATAGACAAGTCAATTCTCTGGCAAATGCCAGAAACAAACACATACACACAGAATAGAACGTGAGGAAGGATTTACTGAGGATGAGGCTTTGAGTCACAGCACCAGGAGATTTCCCAGGACAGAAACTGTAATGACAGAGAACAGAGAAGACAGATATGCCTCCTGCCCTACAGCTGGACACACCAGGGCTGTGGCCTTGCCTATGGAGGGGGTCCATGGGTGATGCAGAGATGCCATGGTACTGGCTCTTTGGAGCAGGGATTTATGCTTCACAGGCTACTGGAGCTAAGAGGGGTATCAAACACAGGACACAGCAGCAGGTGTGGGGGATACTGAAGAGAGAGAGAGGTTTAGGTCCCTGGAGTGACAGGGCTATCACAAGAAGAAATGATGCAGAATCACGAGGTGGGAGCGGGAATCATTAGGAAGACAGGCTTGCCCCAGAGACACCAACTGCTTGGGGTGGAAGAGAGGGACCTCATAGAAGCAAGTGGGCAGAACCCACTCCTCTGAAGTGGTTTGCAAGGTACACTTGATGTACTTTTGCTGCACATGTGGTTGTACTCGCTGGTCCCTCAGACTCTGGATCTCTCCAGGGACTCCCTCCACACCCCCAACCCCAGTGAAAGGTTAAAGGAGCTTTCCTTTGCTAGCACAGTTCCACTGGGTTCTCACTGCTTCTGGGGACTGCATAGGCTCTCTCAGGGGAGCACGGCAGGCCCCCACTCTGAAGAACCACATGCAGCCATAGTCTAAAAATAGTGTCAAGGGCTCCTGTGTAACCTGTAGGCACAGGAGTGGGGAAGAGGAAGAGGCCTCCCCACCTCAGGTCAGAGAACTGAGCCAACTGGACTTCCTTGTGGTCCTGCGACCCTGCCTTCAAATCCCGCCCCTTGCCCACAGTAGTGGAAGCCCTGTCTCTCTTGCCCCAAGCTGTGGATCTCAGAACTCTATCCCTTCTAAGGATAGAAAAAAGAGAGAGAGAGAGAGAGAGAGAGACAGAAAAGGCCTCTGAGAAGAATGTCTCGAACCCCCCTCCCCGTCGCCCCCACGTCCTGTTCTGAGCTTCTACAATCAGCTCCTAAGAGAGTGAGGCACAGGCCTGCTGCAGCTCCAAACCCAGAAGGCCGTGTCCCTTCTGAGGTTGAGCCTGCCCGGAGCCCTTCTAACTTACCTGTGCCCGCAGGGCCCGGCTCTGCCTCCTGGCCAGTTTTGCAATCATGTCCACCATCCCGGGCTCCCTCTGAGTTGCTGGGATGGAGCCTGGGAAAGCTTAGGGGGGTGGAGCCCAAGACCACAACTCTGGGCTGGCACAGGGCAACTAGGAAACAAGAAGTTGCCTCGAGATGGCGGGAGGCTGAGACTGCTGCTGGTTTCCTGTTAGGGCTGCGGAAGTGCCTGAGACAAAGTTGCCTGATGGGTGTGGGGTGGTGCAGGTTGGGGTGTTTTCGTGTTTCCTGGTTTCCACTGGCTGTCCCCCCAACCCCCTGTGCTTAGTGCTCTGGTGACATGGGGGATCTACATCTCAGCCCCAGACGCAGCCCAGAGCAGCCTGTACCAAACCACTCACGTGTAAGTCATGGGAGGCGTGGAAGATGGGAACAGGTGGAAGGAAACCCTGAGGAGAGGGCTCCAACCCGGGCTAGCCTAGGGTACTGTGGCTCCTGTGGCAGACACAAGACAATGAGTGGCTGTGGACTCCCCACAGGCCCAGGAGGATGTGAAGGGAAAGAGGAAGGCTGTGGAAAGAGACGTTTCAGATGAGGAAGGGGTTTGGACACATGTGGTATGAGGAAGTTGGTGTCTAGACTCTGAGAGCCAAGACAACAGAAGGGACAGTGACCACCATAGTCTTCCCACTCGACCACCTGGCTCTGTCTCCTCCAGACTTGGTTACCAAGGTACACTTGCCCTCTTCCTCTTGGGTGGCCAAACGCACACACCCATCCCCATAGATGTCTCTACGTCATGTGCTAGTCGGCTCATCTCCACCGAGGACTGAGGGAAAGGAGGGAGGACAGCAGCCAGCTCCTTTCTTCTGACTTCTCCCTCCATCCCCTCATGCAGGTGCATACTCCAGTCTCAGCCACACACAGAGGACCCAGCACACCCTGGGTGAGCAGCTATGGCTGCTTCTCCACGTCCCTGGGGCCCATCTTGTCTGTCCTGCCCCTCCCCAAGGTGCTTCCT